AACGGACAGGAGGCGGCACACGCCTCAAGAATTCTTCAACTAGCATGAGGTTGACGAGTTCTGCAAAGGTAGAGACATGTGCTGCTTCCAGCCATTTCATAAAATATCTCCTTTTGGTATTAGCAAATTCTAGAAAGGTAGTGGTACTTGCCTTTAGGTGGTCACGGAATTTTCTTCGGTAGCTTTCGGTGGAGAGAAGGTAGGCGTCCAACACTGCTTGTTTCAGAGTCTGGTAGTCATTCTCAGACGCCAAAGTACTGAGTGTAACTGCAGCTCTACCTGTGAGATGTACTCTGAGAAGGGTAGCCCATTGGTCGGCAGGCCAACTAAGTTGATTAGCAAGGGTCTCAAAGGTGGTGAAAAATACGTCGACTTCTGTCTCTACGAATGGTGGCATTAACTTACTTGCATGTGAGATATTGAAACTTACAGGAAGACTGGCGGTAGCTTGCTGGCGTTGAGTGAGGTGTGTAGTTTCCAACGCGAATTCTTGTTGACGACATTCCATAGCCAGAGCAGCTTGTTGTTTGTCATGCTCGCGTTGCATCTCCAGGTGGCGTTGTTTTGCTTCAAGCTGTACTCGTTCACGCTCACGGAGTATTGCAATCTCACGTTCTTGTTCTTCTTTCCTCAAGGCAGCTTCTCGTTCTTTTATTTGTAGGGCTTCTTTTTGTTGTTCTCTCTCGATCTTGGCAAGCTCTAGTTTGAGTTTCAGAGTTGCCAAATCAGGTTTATCTGCAATAGAGTAAGTTTCGTGAGTTTCAGAGTCTATCTTACCTTCCTCTAAGAGATGATCCAGTAACAGGTTATGCAGTTCATTTTTGTTGGCTCCATGGGGAACATCTAGTTGATACTCATGTGCAAGAGTTTGTAATTCAGTCCTCTTGGCACGACTTAAGTTCCCTATTTCACCTGCTGGATCTGCACGGAAAGCTTGGAGACGAAACATGGTGAAATTAGCAAATAAATGTACAACGAATATACTGTTGTGATATGGTGAATGTCAGAAACAGGACAACGTGGCAACTGGTACCTATCCTGTGGAATCGTTAACAATTAATGTTAATTTCAAGATGGTAAATGATTAATAAATCAAGATCGCAGGAAATCTTGTACCCGGTACTCAATGTAAGAGGATAAGGGCAAGAAAATCCTACTAAGTAAGCGAAACTGAGTTTCTAAAACAAATGAAACATTTAATTGCCTCAAAAGTGAATTAGGTAGTCCAAGAATGTAGGCATACCTTGCCGAGTCTCTATAGGACATAAGCAAGTTTTTCCCACTGAAATGAAATATGATACTTACAGAATTAGCGAACTTTTGTGCTCTGAAAAAAGAAAGCTAATTCCCTACATAGGTAAATATCATCATCTCTGACCGACGTGTAGGGGTGTGAGGTGTCAACTGGTGACGAGAACTGCTGCTGAGGTCCCAATTCAGCAACTAAAGTTCGTGCTAGAGGAACTATGGCCCTCTTTATCTTCCTACCGTCGGATTGCAGAAGATTAGGTGCTCTTGACCCGGGGACAGACCACAGTACCAGGGTACCAATATGATGATCTGCCGAAAATATGAGAAATATCCTAGGGACAAAAGATGGTAAACACGAGTAATAACACGGAGGGAGAGATGACCAATTAAGAGAATGACTGAGGCCTACAGTCACCACGTAATCCAAAGTTGTCTCACACTCACCATATGCTACTCTAGCACCATATGAAAATAAAATTGAATATTGAAAATAGTGAAAAGCTACTTTACCAAAGCCAAGTACGCTTACCACAAATTTACGGTCTGGTACTAGTACCTGAGTGAAGCCTCCCGGACAGGCCCCCATGAAATGTGACGGTAAAGTGTTGGAGTGTTGATGTTCGGCAGTCCTCCAATGGCAGGTGGCAATGCCTTGTCACATTTACAGAAAAAAAAGAGACTGCTTGCCTGTTTGTCTGTGGTAAGGTAATGGGAAGACACACAAAACACAAAATATAAACAATGAAATTTTAATTATTTTAGAAAACAAGATATGAACAAAGACAATCCCTTGGCTTATGTAAAATTCAAAACAAGTCAACAAACAAAACAACATGAATAATTAATGAATGTAAAATTTACTCTAAAATAAAATGAAGTGCAAGACAATAATAATATTAATCAGGTGCTGAGAATACTGGCTTAAGCTGCCACCTCCCTTAGTACACGACAGCCAGGGCTTAGTCTACCAGAGAGAGATGTCAACTTCTAAGAGCACAGAGATATTCTGAGGAGTACGGCGTGTGCTGGCCCAGACGTCGACTCAGGTAGGGGGGCGTGAGTGCAGGTGCAGGTGCGGTCGGCGATACACCAGCCAATCAGGAGCAGGCAGGCGGAGAATGGGTAGTTTGCTCGTTGACGACGGGCGGAGGAGCCGGCGTGTCAGGTGGTGCAAGGTACGCTTTGCTTCCTGGGCAAAACGTTTGGCGATACTGGTGGACGTATCTTCAATATAGTATCTTGTACTTGTAAGATGAAGTGAATGATATAGGGAAGAGCAGGCTCAATCTCTCTTGAAAGAGATTATGATTATCATATATATATATACATATATATATATATATATATATATATATATATATATATATATATATATATATATATATGTATATATATATATATATATATATATATATATATATATATATATATATATATATATATATATATATATATATATATATATATATATATATATATATATATATATATTATATATATATATATATGGATACATATATCCATCTATCTTTCTATCCATCCATCTGTGCACCCATCTATCCTTCAATCTATTCATCCATCTAACTTCTTATCTATCTATCTATCTATCTCTTTATGCTCTTACTCATCTTTCTATCCATATATTCATCCAACTATCTTTCCATCTATCTATTCGTCTATCTGTTCATCTACCTATTTATCAATTCATCCATCCATCTATTAACCTGTCTATCCATTCACCTGTTAGATTTATCTTCAGTTGGCACGAAGTTGGAATATCCGTGGCCCAAGACCACGGCAATTATCTGAGTATTTGCACTCACAAACGGTGTAAAACAAGGTTGTGTTCTGGTTTCCAGCTTCTTCAGCTTCATGTTCTCTGCCATGTTGATTGATGTTTATAGAAACAGTTTATAGAGATAGATGTTGGACCAACCTCTGTTTCAGTTTTGATGGGAAGCTGTTCAACTAAAGGATATTCTTTGTCAGAACCAAAGTCCAAGTTGAGACCATTCGTGACTTTCTATTTAAGGATAACTGAGCCCTCAACTCCAGTATAGAGGCTGGCATGCAATACAACATGGGGTATTTTTGGTGGTGGTGGTGAGGCCGAAGTATGAGCTTCGGCTTCACCATCTCCACAAAAAAGTTTAAGGTTTTGCACCAGCCTGCTCCTGGCTGTAACTACGCTGAGCCGTCCATCACCGTCAGCGGCCAGAAGCTCAACAGCATAAATTGTTGTATACATATCTCAGCAGTACTCTATCACATTGCAGTCATTATCGATAGGAAGGTGAACACCAGATCCCACAAGCCTTTCACTAGGCTTGTGAGGCCTGGACTGTCAATAACTGCTACTCAAAAAAGCTAAACAATTTCTTTTTGAACTGTCTACTGAAGCTGCTTAGGGTGATAGGGCAGGATAGTGATATAAATAAGTATACAGATATTCTTTCACAGGCTGGAATGACAAAGTATTCATATCATGGTTTGTAAGGCACAGCACAGATGGCCTAACCATGTTGTTCACATGCCCAGTCACATGCAGTCGCAATGAACGTTCACATGCAGTCGCAATGAACGACTGCCAAAGAAGATGTTCTATGGCGAAGTACAAGAGGGTAAATAATCTCCTGGAGGGCAAAGAATTAAATTAATGATACCCCCAAGGCTTCCCTCAACAAATTCTATGTTTAGACAATACACAGCCCCATTGTTTAAGTCTCTTAGCATGCTAAACATACACTCACTCTTCACATTTTCATGTGCTGTTTACATGTTCAAAACCTTGTTCCTAAATGCTAATCTTAATCTGAAAAATTTCCTTGATAGGTGTAATAGAAATTTTCCATTTTGTTTTAATTTTCCAAGCTATGCCTTATTCAAAAGTAAAACAAAAGAGTACCTAATTTCATCCTCACAGTTTCCTACCTTGTGTTTGATACCCACACTGAATCTTGTGCTACTCACTTCTCCAATATTAGTACTTAAGACATATATCTTTACCAGTGTAATTATCTCTGTCAATTTATTTTGTGGTTATTTTTTATATAAAACTTTGCAGCAATGTACCATTTAATCTTACCTGATATGTTAGAGTAAAGACCTGTCAGAAACGCTATGCGTGTTAGTGACTTTGCAAGAATGTACAAATGCCAATCGTAGGTAGTCTCACAAACCTATTATACCTTCTTATGAATAACAATTATTATAATTAAAATAATCATAATAATAATAATTATTATTATTATTATTATTATTATTATTATTATTATTATTATTATTATTATTATTATTATTATTATTATTATTATTATTATTATTATTATTATTATTAACTGTACCTTAGACGCTGAAAACTAGAACATCGCTGAGAATCGCTCTGCCTGGCGCTGACAAGTTCACATTGGTGAAGGAGCCTACGAAAAAAACAGACTAATTGACGGCTTGTGGAGATTTCTTTGCAAGCCCAGGGCAGGCAGCTCCCCATACCAGGAGCACACACTTCCATGGACCTACTGCCATCGTATAATCTGAACCCGCTCCTACATAAAATGATGACACTGAGTGGTCGTCATCGATTTTGATGAACATGTGCATTTATTTAAAGAAGAAAAAGTTTCAAAAGACTTGACCTTCGTGTTTAGCTGAAAGTTTAAACAACTACTCCCATTGTTGAACTATAACTGGTTCATAAGTTTCGCCCTCATAATAGAATGCTTCATAAATTATTTATTATATTTCCTCAGGAATGAAGAGCTAGAGGTGAAGTGGCTTCACCCAGGCGATGGCAGGGTAGAGGACATGATAGCCATGAACAACCACGGCCTTTGGCGCCAGAGCGCACATTTTACCTTGCACTTGGATACACCATTAGAAACACAGCAGTATCTTCAAGCTGTTACTCATCTGAATAAGTAAGAAGTACAGAGCATACTTTCTTTTGTATAAAACAAACAATAACAAATTATTTTTTTTTAGTTATTAGATGTATTAACACGTGCTAAGACAGTATTACTCAAACTTGCTGGAAAGTCTTAATTGTTATATAATTTTATATATAACACATTTATACTTCGTTAACGTAGTGTTTCATGGTTCATCAACATCGTGTTTTAAGGTTCATCAACGTAGTGTTTCTTGGTTCATTCAAATTCAAATGTTTATTTAGGTAAAATACATACATACAAGGGGTGATACAAAAATTTATGAATTTATACATAGAGCTAGTACATACAATGCCTAAAGCCACTATTACGCAAAGCGTTTCGGGCAGGAAAAACATTAAAGACTAAAACATAATACTAATTGAGATTAAAGTATAAAATGTGTTGAGAAAATATAAAAATAAACAGGGAGGAACATGGCAGAAAAAAAGTAAAAATACAATTTGGTCGACAAACAGCATTATTTAAAAATAACAGACATGGGTTGACATTAAAAGGGTAAGGTAGGTTACAAGGAGTTAATTAGGTAGTGCTTAGTATTTATCTTAAACTGGTTGAGAGGTACAGTCTTTAACATGATTGGGAAGGTCATTCCACATTCTGGGTCCCTTCATTTGTAGAGCATTTTTAGTTTGATTAAGTCGAACTCTTGGAATATCATAAAGGTATTTGTTTCTGGTGTGGTGGACATGGGTTCTGTTACAACCTTCAGTGAAGCTTTTAAGGTCAGGATTGGCATTACAGTTCAGCGTTTTATATATATATATATATATATATATATATATATATATATATATATATATATATATATATATATATATATATATATATATATATATATATATATATATATTATTAAATATGACCGAAAAAGTAAGATTAATAATTCTAACACGAATTTTCTCAATCTTTCGTACATTACGCTTCACTGTTGGAGGTAAATCAAAAATCAATTCTCCAAAATTCATTTTTATTTCTAGTCTGACGCGACACGGGCGCGTTTCGTAAAACTTATTACATTTTCAAAGACTTTTAGTTCACAAATACACAACTGAATAGAACTTACGTATCTCCGATTTTATATCTACATTTGAGTGAGGTGGGAGGGGTGATGTGGCATTAACACAAGACAGAACAAAAGGGGATATTAATAGGGTATTAAAAGTATCAACACAAGACAGAACACAAACAATGGGTATTGAATAGAAGTGTTTGTAGAAAGCCTATTGGTCCATATTTCTTGATGCTTCTATATTGGAGCGGAGTCTTGAGGTGGGTAGAATATAGTTGTGCAATAATTGGCTGTTGATTGCTGGTGTTGACTTCTTGATGTGTAGTGCCTCGCAAACGTAAAGCCGCCTGCTATCGCTGTATCTATCGATGATTTCTGTGTTGTTTACTAGGATTTCTCTGGCGATGGTTTGGTTGTGGGAAGAGATTATATGTTCCTTAATGGAGCCCTGTTGCTTATGCATCGTTAAACGCCTAGAAAGAGATGTTGTTGTCTTGCCTATATACTGGGTTTTTTGGAGCTTACAGTCCCCAAGTGGGCATTTGAAGGCATAGACGACGTTAGTCTCTTTTAAAGCGTTCTGTTTTGTGTCTGGAGAGTTTCTCATGAGTAGGCTGGCCGTTTTTCTGGTTTTATAGTAAATCGTCAGTTGTATCCTCTGATTTTTGTCTGTAGGGATAACGTTTCTATTAACAATATCTTTCAGGACCCTTTCCTCCGTTTTATGAGCTGTGGAAAAGAAGTTCCTGTAAAATAGTCTAATAGGGGGTATAGGTGTTGTGTTAGTTGTCTCTTCAGAGGTTGCATGGCTTTTCACTTTCCTTCTTATGATGTCTTCGACGAAACCATTGGAGAAGCCGTTATTGACTAGGACCTGCCTTACCCTACAGAGTTCTTCGTCGACTTGCTTCCATTCTGAGCTGTGGCTGAGAGCACGGTCGACATATGCGTTAACAACACTCCTCTTGTACCTGTCAGGGCAGTCGCTGTTGGCATTTAGGCACATTCCTATGTTTGTTTCCTTAGTGTAGACTGCAGTGTGGAAACCTCCGCCCTTTTCCATGACTGTTACATCTAGAAAGGGCAGCTTCCCATCCTTTTCCATCTCGTAAGTGAAACGCAGCACGGAACTCTGCTCAAATGCCTCCTTCAGCTCCTGCAGATGTCTGACATCAGGTACCTGTGTAAAAATGTCGTCAACATACCTGCAGTATATGGCCGGTTTCAAGTTCATGTTCATGTAAGGAACAAATAATCTCTTCCCACAACCAAACCATCGCCAGAGAAATCCTAGTAAACAACACAGAAATCATCGATAGATACAGCGAGAGCAGGCGGCTTGACGTTTGCGAGGCACTACACATCAAGAAGTCAACACCAGCAATCAACAGCCAATTATTGCACAACTATATTCTACCCACCTCAAGACTCCGCTCCAATATAGAAGCATCAAGAAATATGGACCAATAGGCTTTCTACAAACACTTCTATTCAATACCCATTGTTTGTGTTCTGTCTTGTGTTGATACTTTTAATACCCTATTAATATCCCCTTTTGTTCTGTCTTGTGTTAATGCCACATCACCCCTCCCACCTCACTCAAATGTAGATATAAAATCGGAGATACGTAAGTTCTATTCAGTTGTGTATTTGTGAACTAAAAGTCTTTGAAAATGTAATAAGTTTTACGAAACGCGCCCGTGTCGCGTCAGACTAGAAATAAAAATGAATTTTGGAGAATTGATTTTTGATTTACCTCCAACAGTGAAGCGTAATGTACGAAAGATTGAGAAAATTCGTGTTAGAATTATTAATCTTACTTTTTCGGTCATATTTAATAATATATGTCTACAGGAAAGACTGCTACCAAAATATACTAATATATATATATATATATATATATATATATATATATATATATATATATATATATATATATATATATATATATATATATATATATATATATATATATATATATATATATATATATATATATATATATATATATATATATATATATATGAGAGGATGTGCAGTGACTTTATATCTAACATTTTCAGAGATTTGAGTAGGGGTACCGAGTGATGTCTGGGGCCAGAGTTGGATATTGTCCTAATAGCAGCTTTGTGTTGAGTAATTAGAGGACGTAAATGATTTTGGGTAGTAGAACCCCAAGCACAAATACCATAGATGAGATAAGGATAGATGAGGGAGTAAAAGAGCGTCACCAAGGCAGGGCGAGGTACATAATATCTGATCTTAGAAAGAATGCCAACAGTTTTTGAAACTTTTATTGATATATTTATAATGTGTCCCTGGAAATTCAGTTTGTGGTCAACGCCAAGGAATTTGCCATCAATTTTGTTACAAATTTGGGTATTATTAATTCTGAGATTTATTTGATTTGAGGATTTATTGCCAAACAAGATATAGAAAGTTTTGTCAATGTTGAGGGTGAGTTTGTTGGCAGTTAGCCAAAGACGGACTTTATTTAGCTCAGTATTCACTGTGCCATTAAGAGCAAGGGGGTCAGGACTGGCATAAATGAAGGTTGTGTCGTCAGCAAATAGAATTGGTTTGAGATGTTGGGAGGCATTTGGAAGGTCATTAATGTAGATGAGAAAGAGGAGAAGGCCAAGTATAATGCCTAGAGGAACACCAATGTTGATGGGTAGGGTGGGAGAAATTTAATTATTCACAGAAACATACTGGAGCCTGTCAGTAAGGTAAGATTTTTGGTATTGCAGCTAGTGTCTCTGACCCCATAATGATGTAATTTAAGAAGAAGGTTTTGGTGGTTGACAGTGTCAAAAGCTTTACGCAGGTCCACAAATAACCCAACAGGGAACTCATTTTTATCAAGAGCTGCATGTATCAAGTTAATCATACTAATACGTGCATCGTTAGTGCTTTTTTGGTTCTGAAACCATATTGACAAGAGCTAAGTATATGGTGTTTGGCTAGATAAGAGTAAAGCTGCTTGAAGATTAGTTTTCAAATATTTTTGACAAGTTTGGCGGGATTGATATAGGTCTGTAGTTGTTAACATCAGTGAGATCACCACATTTGTGGACAGGGGTTACTCTCGCTTTTTTTAGAACATCTGGAAAGGTTTGGAGTTCAAGTGACTTGTTGAAGAGCAATGCAATAGCAGAGGCTAAAGATCTGGAGGCTTCTTTGTAAATTAAAGTTGGTATCTCCTCAAGGGCACTAGACTTGGTTTTAAGGGAAAGGATTATCTCATTTACATCAGTGGAATTCGCAGGCGTTAGGTACAGAGACTGTGGATAGTTACTTGTAAGATAGTCCTGAACATCAGTACTGGAAGATGGAATATCATTTGCTAGGGATGACCCAATGGAAGAGAAGAACCTATTGAACTCGATAGCAGTATCAGAGGCTGTAAGCTGACCATCATTATTTGACAGGAATATTGGCTTGTTATTTAAACTCTTCTTTGATCCCAATATTTGTGAAATTGTGCTCCATGTTTTCTTAATGTTGCCCTTTGTTTGGGTAAATTTACCTTCGTAGCATTTAGTTTTGGTTCTTCTAATTATTTTAGATAGTAATGACGAGTAATTCTTTGAGAATTCTTTGGAGACGATTCCTAACCTACACTTTTTCTCAAGGTCATGTTTTTTATTAATGGATTTAAGTATTCCCTTTGTAAGCCAAGGATTGTTTAGCTTTTTTGTAGTGACTTCTTTCGTAAGCACAGGACAGTGGGTGTTATAAAGGCTGAGAGTTTTATGAAGATTGCACTGCTAGGTTGATGTCCCCTATGTTACCTAATTCGGACTCCCAGTTGACATTAGCAGCAGCAGCTATAAAATTGCCTATAGCAGTGTCATTGTGCAGCCTAAAGCTTATTTCCCTTTTCTCTAGAGGTGGTTTGTTAATGTTAGTTAGGAAAAATGTGGGGTAATTTTCTGTAGTGCTATCGGTGATTATC